CAAAACCCAGGAAAAACAAGTGGTGCAACCCCTCACCACACGCCGACCGACACCCAACCAGTCCCCGAGCAGCGATTTCTGCCCCCCTGGCCAATTCCCCCCAGCTTATATACTGAGCATGATGTCATATGGTATGGAATACCCTTTTGGCCAGTTTGGGTCAGTTGTCTTGGCTTTGCCCCCTCCCAGCTTTTTGTGCACCTGGCAGAGCACGGGAAGCTGAAAAATCCTTGATTTAGTGTAAGCACTGCTTAGCAGCAACTAAAACATCAGTGTGTTATCAACATTATTCTCATGCTAAATCTAAAACACAGCACTATACCAGCTACTAGGAAGAACATTAACTCTATCCCAGCTGAAACCAGGACACCTACCCAAATGGACACAACAGATTCTTTCAGAGCTCTTTATTTCGTTTGTTTCACCCAGAAGTTGTAGGTCTTGTGTATTTATGGTGATACCTTTTCTCTAAAAAAAGGCAACAAAACCAACAACAAAAAAACCCAACCAACCAAAACCAAAAAAACCCAGCAAATTTAGAGAGAGGAAACCTTTTGGCATGTCCCATCTCAATCAGATTTCATTTTCACACTCTGGCCAACGTAAGGTCCCATCGTAGTGTTTGTTTGCAAGTCCCTCTTGGGTCAGTTGAATAAGGATCCTTGTTTTTGCTAGCTTACAGCATTGGAATTGCCTAATAAAGTTAGCCCAGTAGCATGTCTGTGCAGTAGCTGAGATCATTTCTATTGTCGGTTGTACAGCATTCCATATGAGGGCTAAAGACCAGGCCAGGTACTAAAGGAAGAAAAAAATTAAATTCCTGTAGGAACTTTCAGTTAATACTTTAGATTGTAATTAGTGATTTCCATCTGTATTTACTGCTAAATGTCCTTCAGTGTGGCACTGAAAGGAGAGGAAAGTAACAGATGATGAAGGGAGTTACTATGCAGCTGCTTGAGCTGATCCAAGTTGGGGTAGCGCAGTCCCACGTTTCACCTTGTTTTGATGACGCTCATGCAGTGGAGCGGTCAGCCTCCGGAGTGGTACTGTGGCAGGGGAGCCCTGAGCTTAAAACATCTTAAACTGCTGTGTGTGATGGTATTTTCTAATCAGCTGAACTCATTAATGGGCTTTTGGGGTTTTTCTTTTATATGCTTGTTAAGTTTTAGGAATAGCTGTAGGTATTCACATACTTGTGCTGAACATGTAGCATTCTGTCTTTCTCTATCCTACCTCCATCTGTAGGATTTCCTACAGTCCATGGATTACAGCCTTTCTTCCTCTTTCTTAATGATCTACACAGTCCTTTTGGGAGGGCACGAGAGATGCTCCCCCTTCAGGAGGAAAGGTGGTCAAGTCTGTTGGCTTTGTCCAAACAAGTCAAGCCTAGTAAAAGCGTCTTGAACACTTCAGGGTGTATGATGCACTTACCTTTAAACTTCAGCCAACAAAGAAACAGCATCACTGTATAACCTCTGTCATCTCTGGGTGATATTTAGTCCATCTTGACAAACACTTACCTTGAAGAGATGAAGCACAGTTTGTATTTCGTAAGAGGGACTTTTAAACTGTTTCTTCATAAAATGCAAGTTAAATTTAACATGGAGTGTGTGAATAGTAGTTTTTATGCCTTATCTGTACTCCGTCTCTGTTACTGTGCTTTAACAACAGCCTCAAGCACATTGTCCTGTAGATTGTCTGATTAATGTGTCTTCTCATTGCAAAAAAAGATGCTTGTGCTATTCTAATTCTCCTGTTGTAACTCAGAAGTGAGGGCAGGACCTTTGGCTGTAGCTGCAGTGTCTCGTGTTGCACAAGGGGCTGTAGCAGTCTGACAAGCAATCTGTATATGACATTGTACAGCTGTTTTTAATGCAGTGAAAATGCGCTGCTACACACATCTCTAGGTCAGAGAGAGAGAACAAATCCATATGTCCCATGTACCAGATAAAATGTGGTGTCTGCTCAGCCGTATCTCACATCTAGTTACTACAAGGCAGTCTTGGTCACAGCATACCATATATCGCCAGTGACTCCTACCAACTTAGAGACTGAAATGGTGTTTCTAAGCAGGGCTGGTACATGTCATGGCTTTGCTTAAATCTCAGAAAAATGGGAAATAGAGGTGATTAACATCCAACAGTGCCTTGTGGCCTTTAGAATAACTTCAAATTTTGGTGAGGCCTCAAAAAAACCCCTAGGTTTCTTGCATTGTAATTCTGTTTTCTGTTTTACAGTATGGCTTCATCAGACAAGAATAGGTCTCAGTTTATATGATGTGGCAGGACAGGGCTACCTCAGAGAATCAGTAAGTAAATTCTTGATTAACTTAATGTCTGTCTTTACTCAAATGACAGAACATCAGAAAGGCTCCAATTTTCTTCCAGTCTTGTCTCATAAAAGCTTATATCGTAATCTAGGTTTGGAGTGGGCACATTTGTTTGGATAAATAGCAATCTCTATATTCTAGAGATTTGGTGGTAGAGTGCTGCTAGCCTTTTTAACATATGGGTAATTCTCTGAAAAAGAGATCGGAGGTATCAAGGTTTCATGTCATTAGCACTTTACTAGATTTAGTAGGATGTAGTAGAAATCACAAAAAAGGATGGGTAGAATGGGCCTCAATGAATTATTCTCCTGTTCTAACAGGAGTTAATATTATAAAATAAATAAGAAGGTTCTAGTTACCACTCTGCTTAAAAAAGAGAATATTAAAGAATATTCAGCAATAGGATAATCCAATTAGGAGTTATGCATTGGTATTTGAAAAAGGTACAGTTGAATGCATTTATGTTTACATGTAAATATTATCTACTTTGTTAACATTCTGCTTTATTTGTAGACCGTTTCAGTCATGGCATCACATGTGCATGTATATGACCTAGGATTTCTTGCACAGAGACAGAAGCTTTTTTGCCTGCTTTCATGCTCTTTCCTGCATTGTTGCAGGATTGTATTTTTAACAAAATATACTTGAAAGCCAGGGTGGAATGTAGCAAACATGCAACAACAGTAGTGTTTAAAGCTTGTTTTCTTTTCTTTCTTAATTCTGCAGGATTTAGAAAACTATATTTTGGAACTCATTCCTACTTTGCCACAACTGGATGGTTTAGAAAAATCTTTTTACTCCTTCTATGTCTGCACAGCGGTTAGAAAGTTCTTCTTCTTTCTGGATCCTCTCAGAACAGGTAGGTCCATGTTTTAAAAATTCTGAATATGTGGGAGTATTTTCACTTTTAAAATGTTTCCACTGAAGCTACTTGTGTTTTCAAAGTAATACGTAGTTGTCTTTGTAGGCTTTTGTTCAGCAATCTTGTATTTGAAGATTAATCTCCACAGAAGACCATGAGTCTTTATGTGGGTCTAATAATCTACTTCTACAGCTAATGAATTTCTATGAGATAGCCGTCAGTTGTGGCCCTATAGAGTTATCTCCTAAAAACTGACAAATAAGATATTGTTTCATCATAATGCATCATTAGCAGTAGCTAATTTTATAAGTGTTTAGGTGAACAGAAAACACAGTAACTAACAACAAAACTGCTTGGCAGAACATCCGCAGGGCTGTGGAAATGCTTAAGAATGCTTATTGTGATGTGCTTCTCCTGTGACTAAATTTGCGTGCACCATGTAAACTCATTAGAAAGGTTTGCAGTTATGGCTGCTAATCCTTATTACAGATGTAGCTCCCTCGGACAACAGCTTGCTTTTTCATATGCCCTTGACTTAAGTCACAAACTGCATGTATTTTCAAGATCTAGCTGTGCCACTCGAAGACATCAGAGTTGTGTGGGCAGCAGCCTCTGGCAGAGGTAATTACAAACATGTAGAGAGAGGGCGTGTGAAGTTATAATGCCATTATTTTGCACAGCTGTTTGTGCAGTGTCTGTGCACCAGTCAAAGCTACACCAGCAGAAGTGCATTCTGCCACCTTAGCTTCGTGTCACATCTGTGGTTTCTGAAGATGTAAAAATATCACATCACTTAAGAGACTCTGTTATTCCAACAAATGTTTTAAGCCTGCTTTGTTTGTGTTTTTATTTTACATTTTGAGTTGATGTTGAACACTCGCATTTTTTTAATACTGTTTTCTGGCTTTTAAGGCCTCAGGATAACTCCTCTTGTGCTAATATCAGGCTAGTTTTATTCCATCATTTTAAAAGCTATTTTTATTTTATCTCTTAAATTACAGCCTTATCGTGGATGTTAGAAGTTGGTTTTGTTTGGTTTTGGTTTTTTAAAAAGGCATTTTTTTTCTGCTCAGAGTACTTCTTTCTTAAGTAGAACCACCTAAATGATAATGTTGTCCGAAAAGCGGATTCGTGCCCGGCGTGCAAGTAACCAATTCCACACGCTCAGGAGAGATATTGTTTTATTCAGGCCTGGGTGCTCAGTGGACTTGCCACAAATCAAGCACACCTGGTCTAATCACCTTTCTGTTTATATCCATGCTTCTCATACATGTTTTAAATTTCTCTTTTACATATTCATTAAGTTTCCAGGAACTAATTATAATATTACGTCATCCTAGACACATGCGCACTAAAGCCTTTAGGGTCTTCTTGAGGGTCTCGGGTGGTCTCTGGTGGTCAGCAGGGTAGTGAACTTTCTGTGAACTTGTCCTTCCTTCTCCTTATAAGGTTGCAACTTGTCCCCGAGCCATACTTGGATTGCTTTTGTTTACGGTTTCCATAGTCGAAGTTAATTATCACTAGAATCTAACAATGCTTCTAGGATATGCAGTTTATACTAGTTACAATTCCACACACTTACAAACACAACACCTGTTAGTTACCTAACTTCTAAGCAACAAATCTTCATTGTTTAGAATTAAAGAAGCGAGCAGTATGGAATAAGAGGTACTGTAACAGACTATGCCTACTGCATCAATAACAGTCAAATGGATATGTTAGCTGGGCGACTGTTAAAATGTCTTGTCTTTTCTTGCTGCAGGGAAGATAAAGATACAGGATATTTTAGCTTGCAGCTTCCTGGATGACTTACTGGAGGTAAAGATCTCTTAGCATATACTATTATATTTTAATTTACTCTTTCTGAATTCTAACTTTGTGTTTCATTTAGTTAAGGGATGAAGAACTTTCTAAAGAAAGTCAAGAAACAAATTGGTTTTCTGCTCCTTCTGCATTAAGAGTTTATGGTAGGTTCCTTTATATGTGAACGCTTTTTTTTTTTTCCCTTTTGTTTTTTTTTCTTCTCCTCTCTGCCTTAGTCACATTCTTAGTGTTATTTTTCCTCTGTTTTTGTCTCTTTAAATCCTCCTCATAACTTGTCTTTTCAACTCCTGTAGCCATCCTTTCAGTATATCTTCCTGACTTTCTTTACAATTTCAGTTCTCCACTGTTGCTCTTTACCATGGTTTTATCCTCTGTCATTTTGTGCTTGTTGCACAAGGTACAACATTCCTCTGTAACCTTCTATTTTGACTGTTCTATTCATGCTTTTGCATCATCTTTAGCTCTTTTTTTTTCATGCTTACAGCAGATCTGTTTGAAATAATATGCTCTACCCTTCTGCTCCTTTCTCTGTATACACAGCCTTTACTTTTGAGCCATTACCTTAGAGTAGAACTATTAACACCTCGTTATGGGAATCCCGCTTCCCCTCCTCCCATGTTGTGTGCTCATTTATGATGCTTTATCAATATTATTGTGGGTCTGGCGTATTTCCACTTAACTGTATTAACTTCATGATGAAAATTAAATTAATGTTTAAAAAGTGTTAAATTTTCTTTTTCTGTTGAAACAGTTCTTTGCTGATATAGGTATTTATGTTTCACCCTCTGTGTCTCCTCCCTAGGCCAGTACTTAAACCTTGATAAAGATCACAATGGCATGCTCAGCAAGGAAGAACTGTCCCGGTATGGAACAGGGACTCTGACCAACATATTTTTGGATCGTGTCTTTCAGGAATGCTTAACATATGATGGTGAAATGGTAATCACATATTTTCAATTTGTTCACAATACAAAAGCTTTGGCTTATTGAGATGGGAAATGTGTCATAATCAGTATCTTTATTTTAAAGAGTAGCTTGAGGTGCAGTAACTTGTGTTTATCATTGTGCACACCAATGACCATGCAGCAGATTAGAAAATTAATTTTCTTAATAGCAAGGTGATCGCAGCATGGCTTAAAGGCAAGTTGCTCGTTCTGAAAAGCAGAGGTGACACAAAATCCAGACAGCCTAGGATAAAGGTTCTTGTAGATTCAGTAACATAAAGTGCATGTTGAAAAAATGTATGGATGTAGCAATGCTTTTTAGTTACACGTAATTCTTTAAAGGGAATCAAAGACAAGTGGCACACTTGAGACTAGTGCAAGTTAGCTAACCTGTCCACTTCTTCATGAAGACCACAGTGGCTTTTGCTGTAAGCTTTCCATAGCTGTGAAAAATGGGAAGTCTAACTAAATTAGAGTTAAAATAAAAACTTGTGTCTATATTTATTTTGAAAATTTTACTTAACGTATTGCTACTCTTGTTGTCTGCATTCAGATGACTGAACTCTAAAAGTGATTAAATTACAGATTCACTATATAGTCCTTCCGCCACCTTAGCAGTTTTTTGTAAAATCCACAGAATGATTGAGGTCATGAGGGGTCCTCTTAGTTGCCCTTTGCTGGACTTGCTACAGTAGGTCCGTCTCTCTCTTATATGGGGGAGACCAGAACAGGACCCAGTGCTCAGTTGTGGTCTAAGCAGTGCTGAGTAGAGGAGAAGGATCATCTTCCTCAACTTGCCAGCAAAGCTCTTCCTAATGCAGCTCAGGATGCTGTCGGCAGCCTTTGCTGCAAGGGCACGTTGCTGGCGCATGTTCAACTTTGTTGCCCATCAGGACTCCCAGGTCCATCAGTGCAAAGCTGTTTTCTGACTAGTCAGCCCCCAGCATGTACTGGTGCATGGGGTTATTCCTCCCCAAATCCAGGATTTTGCGTTCCCTCTGTTGAACTTGATGGGGCTCCTGGCAGCCCATTTTTGCAGTCTGTTAAGCTCCCTCAAAATGGCAGCACAACTCTCTGGTGTTTAAGGTAGAGAGGGTTATTGTATGCATAGGACTGAAGGATTTCTGTCCTTGTCACAACTATATCTTGATCGGGAAACCAAGAATCAGTACTAATGAAAAAGAAAAGTGTGATACATATTTGTGATGTCTACTAATGCTTCTACCACGATTGCTAAACTACCTACTCTGGTCTAAGGATTATATGCTATAATTGGCCATATAGTTCACCGTTCGGTAACGGTAGGCTTACTGCCACTGCATGTTTGATTTGTGGTAATGAAAACCTTTTATGTTTTTTTTCACTAGTTGGGTATGTTCAGCAGTCTAAAGATGTATTAAACATTGTTATATAAAGTATATATAGCATGTTTAATTTGGATCTATGCTTGGAATCCTATTTTACCTCTAAAATGGCAGGATTTCCTATCGTCAGCAGTCATTAAAAACTAACTTTTCTGTTCATGTTGGTCGTAGCCATTTTCTGTTTCACATTGTCTTTTTCAGAACATAGACTGATCCCCTACAATGAAATAGCTGCCAATTATAAAGTTCCTGCTCGCAAAATCAATTTAGAAAGAAGACTGTAATAAACATGATTGTATCTACTTTTAGGACTATAAAACCTACCTGGACTTTGTGCTTGCATTAGAAAACAGAAAGGAGCCTGCAGCTCTGCAATATATTTTCAAACTGCTTGATATAGAGAACAAAGGATACCTGAATGTCTTTTCGCTTAATTATTTCTTTAGGGTAAGTCTCTTTATACAGGTAGGCCATTTTCTGTATTTATAGTGTTATAGCCTGTGTGCTTCTGCATGCAGATCTGCAGGAAATCACTTTAAATTACTAATACCCACTGGGAGGCCAGTAACTACTTCTAAGAAGATTTAAAATATTGAAAAAAATATTCCAAAACTTGGAAAGAATTCAAAAGGTATTTTCAACATTTTATGTGCAGTTGAAATTAACTGTTTTGATTTTGTTTAGGAAAAATATTGTCTATTGATTTTTTTTTTTTTTTAAATTGAAATTGTCCTAAAATTGCCTAATGATTACCTATTAAAATCTCTTACGATGGTTCTAATTGGTTATTGCCCATGGTTTTAATTTCCACTGTAATCCTAAAATTCAGTAGAAGAAATCAAAATAATGACATGCAGTGATGCGCCTGTAAAGCTGTGGGATTTTTCATTCAATGTGTTGATTGCAAAAAGCTTCTTGCATTTTTCGTATTCTGTATTTTTACCTGTTGCTCCCAGAATAGATTTAAAATAAGCTTAAATTTTTGTAGTTGCTGTTAAAATTAGCCTAAGGCTTGTAAAATCTTCCTCCAAATTGTGAGTTGTATGTGGGTGGTTTTTTGTTTTTCTTCTAGCCTGTGGTGGTTTTGGTTTTGGGGGACGTGGCTGTTTTGTTGTTTTGTCTTGGGTTTTTTAATATATACGTGAGGTGTCTCGGGAAGGGAAATGTCATGTTGTAAAATAGTATTTTTGCTGTGGATGGTCTAGGCTGAGTTATGAGAGTGATGCTTTTTTCATGTACAAGATCCCTTCAGTGATACCTCTTCAGACACAGGGACAAGCACTTCAATTTTCTTTATGTGGATCTTTGTATTATAACTGTAAAAATAAACAATGTCATTGTACTTAGCCATATGCTCGAAGTATGATGAACAAGGTACATACTTTATTTAGCTCATTAAGTAAAGCATTCAGGCCTGCTCAAGGCATAATCTTATAGCCACATTATTTCTAGATTGTAAAAAGTCTTCAGTTGAACGTGAACTTCGATAGTGACTACAACCATCTCATTTTGTAAAAATAAGACTTCTTATCTGGAATACCTTTTCTGAAAAGGAAAGGCTTTTTCTTTTTAAAAAACAAACAAACCCTCCGAAAAACCCCACAACTTTTTTTTCTTTTAGTGGCTTGGAACCATCAAATAATTTAGGGTGGAACAGACCTTTGGAGGTCCCCTGCTCTCACCATCTGCTCAGAGCAGGGCCAGCTTCATGGTTAGGTTGAGTTGCTCAGGGCCTTGTCCAGGCGAGTTTTGGGTATCTCCAAGGAGGGAGACTCTACGGCCTCTTTGAGCAACGTGTTCCGGTGTCTGACTACCCTGACGGAGATGACTTTTCTCCCCTCACCCTTTCTCCCATCTTTGTGTAATTGGAATGCCTCTTGCTGCAGTCTGCCTCTTGCCCTTTCACTGTGTGTCTCCAAGAAGAGTCTCGCTGTGTTGTCTCTAACCACCTGCTAGGTAGTTGAAGATAGTAATTAGATTTCCCCCACCACCCCAGCCTTCTATTCTCCAGGTGAATTAATCCCCATCTCAAGCCTCTCCTCTCAGCTGTGCTGTGCTTTAGCCTCCCAAGCATCCTGATAGCCCTCTAGCGTTGTCCCAGTGTCCCACTGGTTTGTCAGTGTCTCATAAAGGGGAGCCCAAAGCTGTGAGGCTGCATTTAGAGTACTGTGTCCAAATGTCGAGTCAGGAGGAATAATCACTTCCCTGAACCTGCTAGCTGTGCTTGTACTAATGCAGCCCAGTATTTATCTGCCTTCATCACTACAGGGGCACCCTGCAGATTCTTGTTCATCTTCTTGTGCAGCAAGACCTCCAGCACCTTTCCTGCCAAGCCGCTTCTAGCCAGCGGGCCCCTGGAGCGTACTGCTCCAGGGTTATTGTGCTGCAGGTGCAGGCAGGATTTTTGCATGTGCCTTTTGAACTTCATCATGAACTTTGTTTAGTAGTTGTAGCTGTGTGGTATGCTTGATGGGCAACTATTGGGCCAGGACTTGGCAATACTAAGGATCCTAGAGAAACTAAGGAATGACTCATCTTCTCTCCCTGCTTTTACAGCTCACCATTCCCACCACTTTCTCCACTTCTGTTCACATGGCAGTAGCATTCAGGGAGGCCAGGGGCCATATCAACTGTCTCTGACTCTGATTTTAACAAAGGATGTTAATCTACAGTTTTACATTTTACAAAACCATGAATGTTGGTGTTGTCATAGTACATAAGTGATTCTAATATGAAAACAATTTAGCAAGGTAATTCTATGTAAGCTACCGTTGCATAGCTATTTTTGTGCATGTCTCCAGTTACATACTTACTCTATGGCTTAGCTATTGAAAAGATTCTTCGACTACAGCAGATGCTTGATCATACTCCAAAACATGTCCCTCCTTTAAACTTTTGGAAATGGAATGTTTTAAGTTTTCCTTGAAATCAGAACAGTTCTTTTTGGCTCTGTGAATAATTGGTTTTCTGCTAGTGTAAGTGTGGGAGTACCCTTCCATGCATGGACAAATGTTCAAATAGACAATTACATCGTCTCCTTCACATTATTATTTGATCAACCAGAATACAAGTTCCATTTTCAAAGTAATTGAAAGTGTGAGTAGCCACACTGCTTTGTCTGTCTGCTGGTTGGTGTTTTCCCTTCTGTCTTTCCCT